CCTGCAGTTGTTGTGGTTGTTCCTGCAGTTGTTGTGGTTGTTGGACCCGTTGTTGTGGAACCTTCATGCTCCTGAGGTGTTGTTACTTCTGACGTTGTTGTACCTACAGTTGTTGTAGTTGTTCCCGCAGTGGTTGTAGTTGTTCCTGCAGTTGTTGTTGTTGTACCTGCAGTTGTTGTGGTTGTGCCTGCAGTTGTAGTTGTAGTACCTGCAGTTGTCGTGGTTGTTCCTGCAGTTGTAGTTGTAGTACCTCCAGTTGTAGTACCTGCAGTTGTCGTGGTTGTTCCTGCAGTTGTAGTTGTAGTACCTGCAGTTGTGGTTGTGCCTGCAGTAGTTGTGGTGGTACCTGCCAATGTTGTGGTTGTTCCTGCCGTTGTAGTTGTAGTACCTGCAGTTGTCGTGGTTGTTCCTGCAGTTGTAGTTGTAGTACCTCCAGTTGTAGTACCTGCAGTTGTCGTGGTTGTTCCTGCAGTTGTTGTAGTTGTTCCTGCAGTGGTTGTGGTTGTTCCTGCAGTGGTTGTGGTTGTTCCTGCAGTGGTTGTGGTTGTTCCTGCAGTTGTTGTAGTTGTACCTGCAGTGGTTGTGGTTGTCCCTGCTGTGGTTGTAGTTGTTCCTGCAGTTGTAGTTGTAGTACCTCCAGTTGTAGTACCTGCAGTTGTCGTGGTTGTTCCTGCAGTTGTAGTTGTAGTACCTGCAATGGTTGTGGTTGTCCCTGCAGTGGTTGTAGTTGTTCCTGCGGTTGTAGTTGTAGTACCTGCAGTTGTGGTTGTGCCTGCAGTAGTTGTGGTGGTACCTGCCAATGTTGTGGTTGTTCCTGCAGTTGTAGTTGTAGTACCTCCAGTTGTAGTACCTGCAGTTGTCGTGGTTGTTCCTGCAGTTGTTGTAGTTGTACCTGCAGTGGTTGTGGTTGTTCCTGCAGTGGTTGTGGTTGTTCCTGCAGTTGTAGTTGTAGTACCTCCAGTTGTAGTACCTGCAGTTGTCGTGGTTGTTCCTGCAGTTGTAGTTGTAGTACCTGCAGTTGTGGTTGTGCCTGCAGTAGTTGTGGTGGTACCTGCCAATGTTGTGGTTGTTCCTGCCGTTGTAGTTGTAGTACCTGCAGTTGGTGTGGTTGTACCCGCAGTTGTAGTGGTTGTTCCTGCAGTTGTTGTTGTTGTACCTGCAGTTGTTGTGGTTGTACCCGCAGAGGTTGTAGTTGTTCCTGCAGTTGTAGTTGTAGTACCTGCAGTTGTCGTGGTTGTTCCTGCAGTTGTTGTAGTTGTTCCTGCAGTTGTTGTGGTTGTTTCTGCAGTTGTAGTTGTAGTACCTCCAGTTGTAGTACCTGCAGTTGTCGTGGTTGTTCCTGCAGTTGTTGTAGTTGTTCCTGCAGTTGTCTTGGTTGTTCCTGCAGTTGTAGTTGTAGTACCTCCAGTTGTAGTACCTGCAGTTGTCGTGGTTGTTCCTGCAGTTGTAGTTGTAGTACCTGCAGTTGTTGTGGTTGTTCCTGCCGTTGTAGTTGTAGTACCTGCAGTTGTTGTTGTTGTCCCTGCAGTGGTTGTAGTTGTTCCTGCAGTTGTTGTTGTAGTACCTGCAATGGTTGTGGTGGTACCTGCAGTTGTTGTCGATGTCTGTTCTGTTGTTGTGCTAAAGGTGAAGGGCGTAGTTGTGGTTGGGGCCTGTGTTGTGGTACAAGGGTAGACGTCTCTGTCTACCTCCCCATCTGCCCCACATTCAGCAGTGATACAGTTTCCAAGTCCATCTGTGGTGTCATAGATCTTTTCTCCGTATCTGTAATATTTTCCATTTAGGTAGCACTTACACTCTGCAGAAGAAGAGTACTTAAATTAGTTTAACAAAATATTCTTATGAGTATCTAATATAATAACATTAATATTTGAGTCACTCACCGCTGACGTTATATTGACATGATATCCCAGACATTGCACAGTAGCTTTAAAACACAAGTAAATTTGGTTACTTCGTGCATTCAGTGTAATTATGTCACCCACAACGTAATATTCCAATTTATGTTGCATCACTTATCTGTCAAGTAAAATAAATTCTCACATTATATTATAATGTTTGCAAAACTAAAGTTGATAGGTTTCAGAGTTTTCAAAATTACCAGGTGTTGCAGTTAGGTGCTGGAACTGTATCCCCGATGTTGTAATGGTTTCCTTTGTTGTCATAGCAGCCACACCTTTCCCAGGGAACACATTTCATGGTGTCCTCGTCAAAGTATGGGTCAGTTGGTGGACAGTTTGGATAGCACCCTAAAAAAACACACTTTGGTCAAAACCTCAGACCCTTAGAAAAAACCTGAGGTACCACCAAAAGGCTTTGAATATTGAAAAGAAACAAAAGATATACATTTACACCCTATAACAAGACTATGCACAGGCCTGGACTTGGGTACCTTGTGCTGCATTACACCAAAAACTAAATTTGGGAAAGAAGAGATGGAGGATGCACAGTGCTTAGTAGCCTTGTCCTCCTAAATTCTTTGTAAATAAACACAAACACAGAAGGAGGTCCACTTTAAGAAAAAAGAACATTTATTAAACAAACCAGACCAAGACGAGGGATGAAACGAAATAAAGAGCATAACGGTGTGCACTCACATCGCAATTATGCATCAGACTAAAAAACACCGGCCCAAATCCAACAATAATACTATCAATAAATGTGCATAATAATAAAATGGTTATTTAGACTTGTTTTAAACAACAACGAACTAAAGTGCAAACAAATAAAACAAATAGAACCATGAAACATACAGCGATGTTTCTTCCTGTGTGACTCTTCTATTTGTTTTGTCTCCAGTTCAACTCTCTCTGTTGTCCAGTCAATAAAATGGGCAGTCACCGCATTAAGGACTACATTTAAATAGGTGTCCACATATCTGTGGTCAAACCTCATACTGTGCACATAGCCCACGCATTATTGTCTGACACCATTAGCACTTGAGCCAGAATGCTTTGACCAACAAATAGTGAGTCGTGACCAACAAATCGACTAGTCAACTGGGAGATTGCAGCCCTACTGTTTTGGGAACCTGGTACTGTTTAGTAATGATATTTGTGGTTGCAACTTGCAATGTATAGACATAGTCACACACTGCACGAATGGCCAATCCATAATTATGTATGCAGAATGCCATGTTTTCAAAAAATGTTTCTACGGTTTAAAGTTCCTCCAAAGGGGCAAGAATCTGTAGCCGTTTTATTAAATCATAAAATATAAATACATGATTATTATATGTTATACAAAAGACAAATGTGGAGATGTGTTTAGGTTTACCTTCCAGTCCAGTGACGAGGTTGGAACAGTTTCCCAAAGGATTTCTACATGTTTTCATGCAGTCAGCACCACATGGTTTGTAGTGCCACTCACAGCCCTCCTCACCATTGTAGTAGTCACAGAAAATGGCTGCAAGAAAAAAGAAGGATTTTATATACAGAAAGTGCTGAATTTACTGATTCATTTGCTTCGTTATTTTTAGATTTCTTTTGCAACAATTCTAGCTAACACTTACCAATCAGACATTCTAAGAATATTTTTAATATAAACTACTTCTTTAGTCCCGATGACCTCACAAAGGTCACTAAAGGTTTGGCACTTGTTTGTTCAGTAACTAAGTATCATCTTAGGACAAAAAGCTTAGCTATAGGGTGAACACACTTTCTCTTCACTAGAGACACACAATTGCCCACATTTTGACCCTGATTCTGATCTTCAAATGAGTGGTCGTTGTCTAACTTACGGCAAATCTTTGGTGTTCTCCATCTGACGCAGGCCCCCGCTTCATTACAGGCTTTGGCGTAGGAGGCCACGGCTGTGCAGAAACACTCACAGTCTCCACCACTGTTGCAAGCACAGGAGTCTCTGACACAGGAGTCAAAGTATGGACCAGGGTCCACCTGAAATACAAGATAATACACTGTTGGGATGAAAATGTTTAGAGGAACATTATGTTGTATTAGCAGTTGCTATAATGAAAGAAGTTGCAAAATGAGAAAATCAAATTTGATGTGAAAGCCGGAAGTACCAACATACTGTGTGGCAGTTAGAAGTTGACTCTCTGTTGGCCCAAAAGAGGTCCTTTACATGTGCAATCCAGAATACTTACCTTTTTCTGGGCTAAAATGCCAAATAGACACACTGGGCAGTAACTTTATCATCTGTATTTTTGTTCATGTTCTATGTTAACCCTTTCACTACCCATTAACTACTGGTTTAACATGTAAAAGAACTACCTTTGCGTGACAGTCCTGGAAGGTGACACTGGTGATAATGCTGCACTTCTTCTTGGACCAGGCGGCACGGTAAGGGTTGGAGCTGCATGGGTCGTTGATGAGCTCAGCATCAGGACAGGTGGATGAAACCTTCCAGCTGTTACCAAACTCCAACACATCTGTCACAGTCTCCTGGTTCCGTGTTTTGAAGTCGTTCTTACTGTTGCCATCGAAGTTTCCACACAGACCACAGATCTTGCCCTGAGTTAAGGGGAAAACACAGTAATTTTAATTATTTTACCGTTGACAGTAACACAAAAGTATAAAGCATTAGACGTGGGTCATTGGTCTTAAAGTAAATAGCATTATATCCTAATTGTAGACTGGAAATAGCAAAGTCAGTCAAAAGTAGTTTTTATTGTCAAGAAGTAAAAGTAAAGAAAGTTAGTCAGTACCTAGCCTTCAGTCATGGAACGTTAGTCAGTACCTAGCCTTCAGTCATGAACTAGACAAATCAATAAATCTGTAAAATAATAAAACAATAAATTAATAAAATAAAATAATATATGTTATTATTATATATTATAATATTCTTCATTATTAGGTTTAAATACAGCTAACATTTTTAAAAATTACATTAAATGTTGGTTAAGGCCAAAAACGCCAGGAGCCAGTGAAACCTAAATGTAATAGAGAAATCAGTAAAACTTGTTAATCCATGACCAATGGTTTGATGGGAAACAGCCAGTATTTGTCAAAAGATACAACCTCTGACAACTGTTATGTTCTATGCTTCCAAAGATGTGCATTTAAAAAGTTCATTGGAGATGACAGCATTACTGAGGGTTTAAAACTAACAATACAGTAATAAACATGGCTATGACGCAGATGAAAGACAGGACGATTGAATTCTGCATTTTTTTTCTGCCAGGTCAGAGGACAAACCTGGAAGATTGGGCTGATTTTCACGAACAGACTGGTCTTCTGGTCCCACATCAGCACCAGACCTTCTTGGATGTTCGCCACCAGGTAGGTACCCATTTTCCTAATCTGTGAGGGAAGCACTTCGGTTGTGCCCTTCACCACCAGGAACTCCTCATCCTTGAACTGGTATTCATTGTCCTAAAGAGAGAGTATGACATCCATGTGATAAATGTGATTTCGCAGCAGCCTGCACCTTTGTTCATGCACATGTTGTTCCTACCCTGAGGAAGATTTTTATAGTCTTGGAGCAGGTGGTCCCTGCGGTTCCACAGGGGACGTTCTCAGTGATGATTCTGAAGGTGCCGTTGGCCGGGTCACTGTTGCAGTAGTCCTAAGTTGAGCAAAGAAATAAAAGATCAATATATATTTGCAAAGAACCACAGTAATGTAGTGACTCCAGCACACTTGTCCTGGACTGAGGCTGGAAACATGTGGTTGCTTTGTGCAAATTGCCCTACATATATCTTGCACTGACCTGGAAATATATTTTCATCACTAACACAAATTGAAAGGAAATATTGATCTCTTATGGCACGATATTCCCACGTCTCCTGCCATACATAACAAGAAGTGTCTGTGTCTGTCACCTGTCCACAGATAAACAGGTGTGTAACAAAGTTCTTTAAGAAATATACATAAATATATATCAAATATAGTTGCAATGTATCCACAGTTAGCTGGTAACTACCTAAATGACAGAAATGGAAATACCAACAAACTCCTGTAGGTGGTCTCAGTGTTTATAGGTGAGGTGGATGAACCAGGTGGTGCTGAGTACCTGTACGAGTGTGTAGCCACACTCTCCATTGAAGTTGAACCTCTTGTCGTCAAAGGTGATGTAGTGGCCGTCACCGTAGATCCCGCACGCAGCGTCACACACTTTGGATGTGCACGTGAACCTCCTGTCGCTGCACTGGCTGTGGAGACAGACGGGGACAGTGAGCAGAAATGGTCCATTCCCTCCTCATCCTCCACCACAAACTCCTTCACCATTAATTGTCATTAGTCCAGATTAGACAATATTCCTGAATACTACAGTTGTCTCTGTGAGTACATGCAGTGTAGTACAGACCAGGTGTTGCAGTCCACAGTCAGTGTCTCTCCAGGGTAGTACAGTTGTCCGTTGTGCGAACATGGACAGTCGGATGGATTGATGCAGTTTCCGTGTGAGTCCAACACCTGACCATCGGGACATTTGCAGCCTGACATGCAGCCCGTACTGATCTGTAACCAATCAGAAACAAACCACCAGTGAACGTCACGCTGAACTCTGATGTTTTCAACAACGGAGTTTGGGTTTGAGCTTGAGTTTTTACAAGAGATTCCCTTGTCCAACACAGCGGTTCTCAAACTTTTTTGGCTCCTCACACCCCTTCCCTCCCTCCCCTCTATATCCCAACTGCGTTGACACACGCACACACACATATATACACAGTATTACAAGTTAAGTTATTAGTTAAAATGTCAGCGTTTGGTTTTAAATTTTACAAAGTAGAAAGAAATCCTTCTCAAACCGCCATCACACTTTTTATCTTGCGCACCCTCTAGTGGCAGTTCTTAAGAATCATGGCCTAAGAATCCCCATTTTTGCCCCCGTGCAGTAGAGTGACACTTTTACAGACCAGTTTGTTTTCATAGGTTGATGTTGTCGACTCTTTTGTTTTTGTCATGAGTCGTTCAGAGGTATGTGTGTGTTCTTACACAGTTCATGTCCATGGTGCTGCAACTCTTCTGACATTCTATTCCAGTGGTTCCAGGAGGAACCCCGGAGCAGTTGAAGTAGACCATTGGGGCAAGACACACAGCTGTGGTGATAAAGAACATGTTCTCATCAGCTTCACAGCTTTTAGAAAAAAAGTCATTTTAATGTTCCCAGTCCATCAAGTCTGCAACTGAGTCAGCTCAGAAGTAACTGAGCTTCTTCTTTTATCTCTTTTTTAAAAAAATTAAAAACTTAAATCTTTTATTATAAACACCAACACCTACTCAGTTCTCCTCCTGTACAGCTGAGGGCGCCCTCGGTACAGACACT